GTGTCATTTAAGGCCTTTATTTCCTTGTTGATCTTTTGCTTGGATGATCTGTCCATTTCAGTGAGGGGAGTGTTAAAGTCCCCTACGATTATTGTATTATTGTTGATGTGTTTCTTTGATTTTGTTATTAATTGGTTTATATAGTTGGCTGCTCCCATGTTAGGGGCATAGATATTTAAAATTGTTAGATCTTCTTGTTGGACAGATCCTTTGAGTATGATATAGTGTCCTTCCTCATCTCTTATTATAGTCTTTTGCTAAAAATCTAATTGATCTGATATAAGGATTTCCACTCCTGCTTTCTTCTGATGTCCATTAGCATGGTAAATTTTTTTCCACCCCCTCACTTTAAATCTGGTGGTGTCTTCGGGTTTAAAATGAGTTTCTTGTAGGCAACATATAGATGGGTTTTGTTTTTTTATCCATTCTGATACCCTGTGTCTTTTGATTGGTGCATTTAGCCCATTAACATTCAGGGTAACTATTGAGAGATATGAATTTAGTGTCATTGTATTGCCTGTAAGGTGACTGTTATTGTATATTGTCTCTGTTCCTTTCTGATCTACTACTTTTAGGCTCTCTCTTTGCTTAGAGGACCCCTTTCAATATTTCCTGTAGAGCTGGTTTGGTGTTTGCAAATTCTTTCAGTTTTTGTTTGTCCTAGAAGCTTTTAACCTCTCCATCTATTTTCAATGATAGCCTAGCTGGATATAGTATTCTTTGCTGCATGTTTTTCTCATTTCATGCTCTGAATATATCATGCCAGCTCTTTCTGGCCTGTCAGGTTTCTGTGGATAAGTCTACAGCCAATCTAATATTTTTACCATTGTATATTACAGACTTCTTTTCCCGGGCTGCTTTCAGGATTTTCTCTTTGTCGCTAAGACTTGTAAATTTTACTATTAGGTGACGGGGTGTGGACCTATTCTTATTGATTTTGAGGGGGGTTCTCTGCACCTCCTGGATTTTGATGCTTGTTCCCTTTGCCATATTGGGGAAATTCTCTCCAATAATTCTCTCCAATATACCTTCTGCTCCCCTCTCTCTTTCTTCTTCTTCTGGAATCCCAATTATTCTAATGTTGTTTCGTCTTATGGTGTCACTTATCTCTCGAATTCTCCCCTCATGGTCCAGGAGCTATTTGTCCCTCTTTTGCTCAGCTTCTTTATTCTCTGTCATTTGGTCTTCTATATCACTAATTCTTTCTTCTGCCTCATTTATCCTAGCTGTGAGAGCCTCCATTTTTAATTGCACCTCATTAATAGCTTTTTTTATTTCAACTTGGTTAAATTTTAGTTCTTTTATTTCTCCTGAAAGGGCTTTTATATCTCCCGAGAGGATTTCTCTAATATCTTCCATGCCTTTTACAAGCCCGGCTAGAACCTTGAGAATCGTCATTCTGAACTCTAGATCTGACATATTACCAATGTCTGTATTGATTAGGTCCCTAGCCTTTGGTACTGCCTCTTGTTCTTTTTTTTTTTTGTGGTGAATTTTTCTGCCTTGTCATTTTGTCCAGATAAGAGTATATGAAGGAGCAATAGTAAAAGGGTGGCAACAACCCCAGGAAAATATGCTTTAACCAAATCAGAAGAGGTCCCAAATCGTGAGAGGGGAGAAAGGGGATAAAAAGAGGTTCAGAAAGAAAAAAAAAAAGAAACAATTTTAAAAAAGAAAACGAATAAAGAAAAAATATAAAAAAGAAAAAAAATATATATATATATTAGATAAACTAGTTTAAAAACGTTAAAAAAGAAAAGGGTAAAAGTTTAAAAAAATTATCAGAAGAAGAGAAAAAAAATTGCAAAAGAAAATTAAATTAACTGCAAGGCTAAAGAATCATGGGGAGAAAGCCATGAGTTCTGTGCTTTGTTTTCTCCTCCTCTGGAATTCCGCTGCTCTCCTTGGTATTGAAACTGCACTCCTCGGTAAGAGAACTTGGTCCTGTCTGGATTTCTTGTTGATCTTCTGGGGGAGGGGCCTGTTGTAGTGATTCTCAAGTGTCTTTGCCCCAGGCGAAGTTGCACTGCCCTTACCAGGGGCAGGGCTGAGTAATCCACTTGGGTTTGCTTTCAGGAGCTTTTGTTCCCTGAGCGCTTTCCGTAGAGTTCCGGAGGATGGGCATGAAGATGGTGGCCTCCCAGTCTCCGGCCCAGAGGAGCCGAGAGCCCGGGGCCCCACTCCTCAGTGCACCCTCAGAGAACAGCGCCCAATTACTCCCATCACCCTAGCCTCCGGCCGCACTCCAAGCTGACTGAGCCTGCGACCAGTTCAAGGTAACCCAGAGCTTAGAGCTCACTCCTCGGCTCTGTTTCTGTAGCTGGCTTCCCCGTTCTAATACCTGTAAGCTCTGTGACACTCAGACACCCCCGATCCTTCTCTGACCCTGAGCGACCTGAGGCCACGCTGACTCCGCTGACCCCGCGTGGGCTTCACCCCGGTTAAGCTTCTGGAGCGATGTCCCTCAGCGGAACAGACTTTTAAAAGTCCTGATTTTGTGCTCCGTTGCTCCGCCGCTTGCCGGGAGCCGGCCCCTCCCCCCGCAATCTATCTTCCCGTCGCTTTGGATTCACTTCTCCGCCAGTCCTACCTTTCAGAAAGTGGTTGATTTTCTGTTTCTAGAATTGCTGTTCTTCTTCTCTTTGATCTCCTGTTGGATTTGTAGGTGTTTGCAATCTTTAGATAAGCTATCTAGCTGATCTCCCGCTACCTGAAGTAGTCTCAGCCTGCTACTTCTCCACCATCTTGACTCCTCCCTCCTTTTTTAAAAATTTTTTTAATGACCATGTAGCATTAAATAATACAATCACTGATTTAGTCCAATACACAACTTTTTAGATGAAGAAAAAGAAAAAGCCCAGAAAATTTAAAAGATTTTCTCTTATTCATTCAGTCAGAGCAGACAAACAACCAACCAAAAAAAAACAAAACAAGTTCTAATTCCTAGTTAGAATCTCTTGTGCTACACTGCACGAGTACTATAAAAATAAGCTGGAGACAAACTGTAAAGGAATAAACTGTGTATGTAGAGAGGTCAGAAGAGCCCCTGGCACATAGGTGCTCATAATTGTTACATGTTATTATAATATGTACTTGCATTTGCATAGAATACTTCTGGAAGGAGGCACAAAAAGTCTTGATTTCCTCTAGCTAGGAGGAATGAGACACAGGGGTTGGAGGGAAATTGACTTTTCACCATGTCTTTTTTTTAAGAATGTGCATGTACTACAATTTATATATATATATATATGTAGAATCCCTAAACAGTGAGAAGGATTGAATGGAGATATCTTATTTTGTTTAGTATTAAGGTTCCTTTCTCCTCCATGTGTACATGGAGTAGAAACTCAGAACCTTTAAGAAATTAGTTATCTGAGATTGGAATTAGAAAGCATAAAACAAAGCTTCATTTCAGCCTAATATCTATATCCACCAAGTACCTACTCATCTCTGTAAAGATCCTTTCAGAGAACATTTTTCTAAGATAATCAGGTTTCCAAGATAAAGATTTTTAAAAAGAGTTTATTTATTTATTTATTTATTTATTTATTTATGAGAGCTTGAGCAAGGGGAGAGGAGGGAGGAAGGACAAGCAGACTCCTTGTTGAGCAGGGAGCCTGACACATGGGTTGGGAGAGTGGATCCCAGGACCCTGAAATGACCTTAGCCAAAGTCAGATGCTAAACCAACTGAGCCACCCAGGAACCCCCAAATTAAGATTTTTTAAAATTGTATAAATACTGGCAAATCAAATTTGAAAATCCAACTAGACGAAGTTCACTACCTGGCATTACATATACCACACTCACCAGCATTTGTCACTTTTCTGAGACTAAGTCACAAGATTAGAATTCCTGAATAATCCATTCCTCAGCTCCTCTGTTTCCTGTATCCATCCAAAGTAAAAATATCACTCCATTAACCTAGCTGTATTACCCATATGGGATCCGCCTCTGGAGAAATTGCCTAATGGAACTCAAATTCCATCTGTTATGTTTTTTTTGAGTTAAGTAAATCATCCTCAGTTCTTTCCATCCCCTGAAACAGTGAGGGCATTTTTTTTTTTACCAGTTATAATATCCCATAAATATATTTTTATTTTTCCCTGTCCATTCCAAACAAGTCAAAATCCAAAGTGAATTTTTTCCTTAATCTCCTAGATTGCTGTTGGTCTATTGCAGTTGGCCTAAGAATGATAGGATGAATCTCAGAAAACAAGCCCGTGTCCTTGTGGGCCTAGAACATTTGTCATGTGTGATTCCAGCTGAGATGATAATCATAGCCTTGTAGTTAGAGTTCCAGGCTGCAAATGAGAAGTGTGGTGGCTGCTTCCACCCTTGAATACCCACATCACCTCTGTCAAGAAGAATGGGGTGTCCTAAGCCTAGAGATGTGGAAATAAGAAATAAAATAAGCTGTAGAGAAGTTCCAGGGATGAACCTGAGGCAAGTCAGTCACTGACCAAATGCTTAGATTTGGCGTTACTATCGGAGACTCCAAACCTCACCCTCAGGATCAATTGAGATACATAAGTCCTGTGGAGGCTGAGAACTGTCCTCAACTGAATGCTTGTTAGCAGACAATATCAACTTACATCTAGTCCCCAGTTTTCACACTGCTTCATGCCATACTCCAGTACAGGAGGTGGGGGCTCTTACTATTGCTACATCATTTAAAATGATAGGGAAATTTGACACTGGAAATGGGGTTCTATGCCTTCTCTTGATCTGTAACTCAGTAAATTTCTGACTCCCTGAGCCTATATATTCATACTCTAGATAATTCCATTCCACAGAGTTTTCATAACTCTCAAGGAAATTATTTTCTATTATGGAAAATAATGTCAGCACCTGGTGCCCTGATGTTTGCTCAACCATCAGCATACTGAAGAATTATCAGTCAGTAAAAGGAAAACTGAGGGTCCGCTGACTTCTCAGATAATTAGAATATAAGAATACAGAATCTAGATTCAGTTGTAGCACAAAGGAAATGATGTTTTCTTGCAGCTTGGAAGTTTATTAATAAAGGAGGTTGAACCAGTTGGTGTTACTTTCTTGAATCCTTCATCTCTGTGTCCTGGCTGTAGTGAGGAAGAGGACTAGCTGCTCTGCTGGCCACAGGTGATGTCATCCCAGGAACATGCTGAGCCCTCTCTCCTTGCTCCCTGTTGCCATAGCTGGGGTCCAGCATTATCAGACAGACTCCATTTCTGTTTCTTGTGCCTGGGCTGGAGGGATGATATTTCTTAGGATTCCAGCATAGTAGGGGCTAAATACCTATTGATTGTGATGCATCAAATTGAAAAATTTCCAGCCTAGTTTGGCCAGTTCCCCTTCAAAGAGACTAAGGCCTCCAGGGAAGTCTCACAGAGACTCCTGCATGCCACGAACCAAACAACATTTGAGAAACAAACAGATTCGCTGATCTGTGAGTGAGGAAAAACAAGGAAAAGGGGGAAGATCAAAGAGGTTTCAGGGGAAATTCACAATGCTCTTGTACTCTCTGCTCATGAAAGTTAACTAAGATATTCACTGACCTACCCATTCATTTGGATAAACTGTATAAATAAGATTTGTTTGCTTCATTTTGGAGAAGGGGATGCTATCAAACTCACAAAAACAATGCATGATCAAAAGATGTTCAGCTAGCAAATTTATGGATGTTCATAAGATTGTGTGGTTTTAAGTGAGCTCCTGGTATGCACTGACCTAACAAGAGGATCTCAGATATTGTACCTGATGTTAAAAGGGCATACATTACAAATAACATGGAGGACATAGGGAGATGGAGAGGAGAAGGGAGTTAAGGGAAATTGGAAGGGGAGATGAACCATGAGAGACGATGGAATCTGAAAAATAATCTGAGGGTTTTGAAGGGGCGGGGGGTGGGAGGTTGGGGGAGCCAGGTGGTGGGTATTGCGGAGGGCACATATTGCATGGAGCACTGGGTGTGGTGCATAAACAATGAATTCTGTTACACTGAAAAGAAATTAAATAATAAATAAATAAATAAATAAAGAAGCTCTATTCATAATGGCCCCAAACTGGAAACAACCCAAACCAACAGACAGATGGCTAAAGAAATGGTGGTATATTCATACTCTGGAACACTGCTCAACAATAAAAAAGAAGGAACCACAGATCTCTGCCACAATCGTGGATGAATCTCTAAAACACAGTGTTAAGTGAAAGTGGCTAAATACAAAACAGAACATAATGCATGATTCCATTTATGTGCAATTCTAGGACAGTCAAACCAATCTATGATGATAAATCAGAACAGTGGTTGTGGGATAGGGAATGGTGCAGGACTGTCTGGGCGAAGCACAAGAACACTTTGTGAGTAATGATAAGTTCCATATCTCAATGGGGTGAGGCATTGTGCACCCATACATTCTCCAAATTCATCAAAATGTCATTGAAGATCTGTATGTTAGGGTCGCCTGCATGGCTCAGTCAGTTAAGCATCTGCCTTCAGCTCAAATCATGATTACAGGACCCAGCGATAGAGTCCTGCATCAGGTTTCTTGCCCAAAAGGGAAACTGTTTCTCCCTTGGCAATGAAATATTACTCAACCATTAAAAAATGTAATTTTGCCATTTGCAATGACATGGATGGAACTGGAGGGTATTATGCTAAGCAAAATAAGTCAGAAAAATTCAATTATTATATTATTTCACTTGTATGTAGAATTTAAGGGAAAAAAACAGATGAACATGAGGAAGGGAAGGAAAATTTAAAAAGATAAAAACAGAGAGGGAGGCAAACCATAAGAGACTCAACTATAGGGAACAAGCTGAGTGTTGCTGAAGGGGAGGTGGGTGAGGGAATTGAGTAAGTGGGTGATGGGCATTAAAGAGGGCACTTGATGTAATGAGCACTGAGTGTTATATGCAACTGATGAATCACTAAATTCTACCCCTGAAATTAACAAAAAATTTTTTAAAAAGACATATATGAAATATACCTCAATAAATAAAATATATGTGGAAAAAAAAGGCATACATTGCAACCAGTGCCCACACATCCAAATCACTGTTAAGATGCAAAAGTTAGAAGAAAGCTCACCAAGTTCACTGCTTCCTTTCCAGCATGGAATATGTCCTACAACCTAAGTCAGTATCAGTTCCTTGGAGGGGAGTAGAAGCCCACGCAGTAACTTTTAAAGCAAATGGTTTTCCATCATAGATCTTGGACTATAGCTAGAAAATGACCAGGGATGACTTGGTAGGGTTGAGGGGACAGTATTTCACACCTGCAAAGTACATATCTTAGCTGCAGGTCCACCTTAAAACCACAATTCACTCTTCAAACTGAAAGAGATCCATTTCAATCCTGCATGTTATAGATGAGAAAACTAAAGCCCAAAGACTTTCCCAATAATCATGCTTTTCTATTTTTAAGTGTTTCAGTAACTGGCTTCCAATGTTAAGTCTACCCCCTCATCCTAAACATTCTTGACACCCCTCCCTATCACTACTGTGGGACTCTTACCAATGATGTTAAACACAGTTCTCTTTCTTGGCAATATTCTGGAGTTGGCCTATAAGAGATGATGTGTTTTCACTGCTCAGGGCAGTAAGGTCCATGTCTTTGAGTCCTTGATGGATTTCCCAGGACAGTTGTTCACTCACACTCACCATAGTCTCTTGAGGCCTAGATAATGGACAGAAAGCAGAATGGCCCTGGCATAGAGTCAAAGCCCAGAGAGCCCTAACAGAAGGCTGGTCCACTCTAAGCCCCCACCACTAGTAGACAGTAGGACCCCATGTACAGATTGAAAACCTTCATTGTTACTCTCAAGGTGACAACAAATTCACAAATATAGCACTATTTTAGACTTCAAAAAGAAACAAGATAAATTGGATAAGGGTTCAGGTCTATGATTGAACCCACTCAGTATACTTTAGTTCCTTAAATATTTTTTTAAGATTTTCTTGGGGGATTTTCCATAGTTGTGTTTTTTCTATTTCATCAGTTAAATTATAAATAAGTTAAGAGACCTAAATTTCTGATTTCTCTTTTTATTTTAGTTGTGGTACCCTACATGCAGTGATGATAAATCAATATTAATGATCAATTGATAAACTTCTGCATATGCATACACAAACCCAGTGTCACCCATTCAAATATGTAATGACTCATTTTTAGAAAACATGATAATGAATGCTTTGTAGTAAACTAGCCTCCACACTCTCCTCTTGGGAAGAAGTTTTGTTTTCTCTATCCCAAGCCTCAATATGACTTATCAAAAGGCACCAACAATCATTTCAGGTGGTTCCCAAGGTCCTTTTTGTGGTGTGTGATGACAAATAACCAATAATTACATTATCTGCCTATGTCCCCAAAACCATATATTATTTTCAACTCTAAAAAAAGATCTGTCTATGAAGCTTACCTGGAGTTAAATTCTTTTGTCAGGGCCTTGGTTATGTGTTTCAGTTTATTCACAAATTCAGGTGAGCTGAATAAAACATTACCAGAGAAACTTCTGGCTACTAGCAAGACTGAGGCCAGGATGATTAACTGGTGCAACTGGGACTCCATCTCCTGTAGCCGTATTCTTTTGAAAGAGGGTCTTTTGAAAAAGTCTTTTGAAAGAGGGAAGACTAGGTCAGGAGAGGAGGGTTCTAGTAGAGACATTAAATATAAAACAAAAGAAGCAATGCTCTAACACACATTCTTACCTCAGGGAAATCATCATTGTCAGGATCCCAGAGAAGAAGATTCAGGTAACCCTGGTATAGCACCATTGTGGGATTGGGGATTTCTGAGTTGTTAGTTGCCCAATTTGGAGGTGAACGATCCAAGCTTGAGGAGCTGGAAGAGCCAAGAGAACTTGAAGATGTTGTAGTGAGGTCTGTTGCTGCCTTGGTTAGCCATTTCGTGGTGCAATCAAGGAGACCTATGACACAAAAGAGAATATATAAGGGTTAAAAGCTAAGGTTTTAAAATATACTCTTGGTCCATAAATATTACTTTGTAGGATCTTCTGTCTTAGAGAAATATTTTTCACTACCTCTTACTCAAAAAAGAAACTTTTATTCACAATATATATTACCTTCCTCCCACAGCAAGAGTAAAAAAGGAAAATGAAATTAAAATGCCACATCTCTACCCAGAAGGATGGACTGTGAATAGAATACATGGGGAGTAGGGGAAAGGAAGGTTACAGATACTACTTAGATGTTGGTAAAGTTAAAGGATGTATTAAAATTAGTGTTAATCCTTGTAGCCTGTGGAAGAGTAGGCTTTCTAAACTACTGGGAAGAGGAATGGAATCTGTCAGTGTAACATAGACAGGGAGAGGTGGGGTGAAAGCAAAAGAAAAACACAGGGGAAAAAAAAGGTGGCAAGATAAGTTAAATAGGAAAAAATGCAGAAGTTGAAATTTTATCACAATAAGGTATTCAATGTTAGATCATTTATCACAATGTGAATCTTAAATATTTATATTCAATCTTTTTCCTTTGGAAAAAAAGAAATTTTATTCAAAAATTAGAAAATATCTTATTGAGAGGAGGGCAAGATGGTGGAGGAGTAGGGGATTCCATTTCAAGCAGTCCCCTTAATTTAGCTAGATATCTGCCAAGCCACTCTGAACACCCATGAAATCAGTCTAAGATGTAAGATTATACAGGGGCAGGGGATCATCAGTTGAGAGGTACGAAGGATGGAGTTGTGATTGCACAGACAGATGTCAAAGCATAAATGGAGGGGGAGGGGGCCACAAGAAGCTAGCCACTGGAAAGTAATACCTCAGTGCAAAAGCACCCTGCACTTGGGGACCAGTGATAGCTTGGAGACCTGCGGTTGTGAGACAGGAAGGGACTGATAACAGCACTCAAAAAGAGCAAGGGGTCTTAAGGGGCAGATATTGGGACCAGGTAGCTCCAGGCACAGACCTAAGCCCACAGCCCAAGGATCCACTGCAGCAGCCACCTGCCAGCTGGCGTACACTTGAGTCAGCAGTCTCTGGGACAGGAAGCTCCTGCTGCTACCACCAAGAGGACCTGGCTTGGACTGGAGCCCATGGTTCCAGGAATGGCAATGGCTGGGGCACAGGTTGCCTTCACTGGGATATCTCCCAGTTTTGGTGGCACTGGGGTATAGAGATAAGCTGGGGCCTTCGTTGACCACTGAGAGGGTCGCTGGGGGCACATCACCTGTGGGAGGCTGCAGTATTAAATGGCATTTGCAGAGGGGTGTCTGTGTATTCTGAAGGATTCAGGGAGGAGCAGACTGTGGCTTCCCTCTGAGGCACTGGTCCAGGTGCGGACAGTTTATTTTGCTCTGACCCTCTGAAAAGGCAAAGGTGAGAAAAGCCACCAGAGGACAAAAGCCTCCAGAGAACAAAAGGCTGGAAAACCGGTTTCCATGGAGCCTAGCCCCTTGATAAGGGGCAGGGCAACTCAGCCAAAGCAGGGTTAACTGAAAAGCAATGTGGCAGCCCCCTCCCTCCAGAAGACAAGTTGAAAGAATAAGAGGACAACAACCACAGCGTCCCCATAAAACTGTAAAACACCACCACCAGGGGAAAACAGTGTATTAACCTCATTGTTTTGCCTCACAGCCTGTCTATTCCTTAAATACAACTTTTCTCTCTCTCTTTTTAAATTCTTTCTCATGTTTCATGCTTTTTTTTAACCTATTTATCCTTTCAACTAGATGTTTAATATAACATATTCCATAGTAGCTTTTTAACTTGAACTTTTTCATACATATTTTTTTTCTTTTTTTATATATACAGACATTAGCTTCAATGTACTCCTTTGTCCTACTCAATATTATATATATATATATATATATATATATATATATTTGCATACACATATACTTGCACACACACACACATATCAGTTTTAGTTTCCCTGTATCTCTGAGAAGTACAGTTCTCTAACAAAGAGAACAAAATACACCCAGGAAGAATTGAAATACCCTTCTTTGCCCACATCAAGGGATTATAGCCACCTTCCTATCAACCCCCCCTTTTTATTTTGGGTTTATCTTTTTTTTTTTTTTTTGCCTGTTTGTTTTGTCTGTCTTTTTGTTTGTTTTCGATTTTGTACTTTATAAAGCTTACTCTTAGGTCTCATTTTGGCCTTTTTTTTCTTTTTGGTGGTGACTTCCAGTTGCTCCAAACCTTCCCAGGATGCACCTTGCCTGGATTGTGGTTGATATTTTTGGTTGTATACCCCTCAAATACAACTCAACAGAATAACTAGGAGGAGGAACTCCCAACAAAGAAAAGACCCAGAGACAATGGTCTCTCCCACAGATCTAATGGATATGGATCTAAGCGAGATGTCAGAAACAGACTTCAGGGTAGCAGTTATGAAGACAATAGTCTGGGGAAAATTATTAATGGCAACATAGATTTGCTAAGGGCAGTAATGAGAGTGGATCTGGCAGAACTTAAAAATGCTATCAATGAGATACAATCTAATTTAGATATTCTAACAGTCAGGGTAAATGAGGCAGAAGAATGAATTAGTGATCTGGAAGACAAACTGATAGAAAAGAAGCAGGAGGAGGCCTGGAGCAAACAGTTCAAAATCCATGAAAACAGAATTAGAGAAATAAATGACGTCATGAAACATTCCAGTGTCGGAATTATTGGGATCCCTAAGGGTGTGGAGAAAGGGAGAGGACTAGAAGATATATTTGAGCAAATCATAGCTGAGAACCTCCCTAATCTGGGGAATGAAACAAGCATTTGTGTCCTAGAGGCAGAGAGAACACAACTAAGAGCAAGGAGAGCAGATTGATATCCAGGTATGTAATAGTAAAACTCACAAATCTTAGTACCAAGGAAACCATTTTAAGGGCAGTTAGGGGGGAGAGATTCCTTACGTACAGAGGGAGGAATGTCAGAATAATGTCAGACCTGTCTTCAGAGACCTGGTAAACCAGAAAGGCCTGGCAAGACATATCCAGGATACTAAATATGGAGCCAAGAATTCTTTATCCAGCAAGGCTGTCATTCAGAATGGATGGAGAGATAAGGAGTTCCCAGGACAAACAGAGACTGAAATTATATGTGACCACTAAGACAGCCCTGCAAGAAATATTAAGGGGGTTCTATAAAAGGAGAAAGATCCCAACAGTGATATAGAACAGAAATAAACAAATACAATCTATAGAGAAAAGGACTGCACAAGCAACATGATGACAATAAAATCATATCTTTTAATAATCACTCTCAACATGAACGGCCTAAATGTTCCCATAAAATGACACAGGGTTGTAGTTTGGATTAAAAGACAGGATCCATCCACATGCTGTCTACAAGAAACTCATTTTGAACCTAAAGATGCACCCAGGCTGAAAGTGAAGGGATGGACAACCATCTTTCATACCAACAGACTTCAAAAGAAAGCTGGAGTAGCAATTCTCATATCAGACAAATTAGATTTTAAGCTGAAGACTGTAATTAGAGATACAGAAGGACACTACATAGTTCTTAAAGGGTCTAACCAACAAGAAGATCTAAGAATTGGAAATATCTATGCCCCCAACATGGAGCAACCAACTACATAAGCCAGCTGTTAACCAAAATAAAGAGACAAATTGATAAGAACACATTAACAGTAGGAGACCTCAACACTCCACTCTCAGCAATATTGTCTCAGCAATAGACAGGTATTCTAAGCAGAAAATAAAAAAAGAAACAAGAGCTTTGAATGACACACTGGACCCAATGGACTTCATAGATATATACAGAACATTCCACCCTAAAACAACAGAATACTCATTCTTCTCAAGCATGTATGGAACTTTATTCAGAATAGACTACATACTGGGTCACAAATCAGGGCTCAACCAACACCAAAAGATTGAGATTATTCCCTGCATATTCTCAGACTACAATGTTTTGAAACTGGAACTCAACCACAAGAAAAAGTTTGGAAGGAATTCAAACACTTGGAAGCTCAAGAACCATCTTGCTGAAGAATGTTTGGGTCAACCAGGAAATCAAAGGCAAACTTAAACAATTCATGGAAACCAATAAGAACAAAGACACATCAATCCAAAACATACGGTATATGACAAAGGCAGTCCTAAGGGGAAAATACATAGCCATTCAAGTTTCATTCAAGAAAACAAAAAAATCCTGGAACACTGGAAAGAAATTTAAAAAAAAAAAGAAAAATCCCAAATGCATAAACTATCTTTACATTTTAAAGATCTGGAGAATCAACAACACATTAAACCTAATCCACACACAAGAATGGAAATAATTAAGATTAAAGCAGAGCTCAATGAATTAGAAACCAGAAATACAGTAGGACTCATTAATGGAACTAGAACCTGGCTCCTTGAAAGAATTAATAAGATCAATAAACCACTGGCCAGACTTATCCAAAAGAAGAGAGAAAGGACAGAAATTAATAAAATTATCAATGAAAAGGTAGAGATCACAACTAATATGAAGGAAATAAGTACAATTATCAGAAATTATTATCAATAGCTATATGACAATAAATTAAGCAACCTGGAAGAAATGGATGCATTCTTGGAAACTTATAAACTATGAAAACTGAAATGGGAAAAATTGAAAACTTGAATAGATCAATAACTAGTGATGAGATTGAAGCAGTGATCAAACACCTCCCAAAAAACAAGAGTCCAGGGCCTGTTGCAGTCCCTGGAGAATTCTACTAAACATTCAAAGAAAAAATAATACCTCTTCTCCTGAAGCTGTTTCAAAAAATGGAAATGGAAGGAAAACATCCAGACTCTTTCTATGAGGCCAACTTTACCTTCATCCTAAAATCAGGAAAAGACCCCATAAAAGAGGAGAATTTCAGATCAATATCCCTGATGAATATGGATGCCAAGATTCTCAACAAGATAGGATCCAACAGCACATTAAAAGGACTATCCACCACGACCAGGTGGCATTTATCCCTGGGATGCAAGGATGATTTGACATTGGCAAAACAGTCAATGTGATAAAACACATCAGTAAGAGAAGAGAGAAGAACCACATGGTCCTCTCAATTGTTGCAGACAAATCATTTGACAAAATACAGCATCTTTTTGTAATTAAACTCTTCAGGGTATAGGGATAGAGGGAACATTCCTCAACTTCATAAAATCCATCTAGGAAAAACCCACAGTGAATATCAATCTCAGTGGGGAAAAGCTGTGAGCCTTTCCATTGAAATTAGGAACACAACAGGGATGCCCACTATCATCACTATTGTTCAACATAGTACTAGAAGTCCTAGCAACAACAATCAGACAAGAAAAAGAAATAAAATGTATTCAAATTGGCAAAGAAGAAGTCAAACTCTCTCTCTTTGCAGATGACATGATACTTTATGTGGAAAACCCAAAAGACTCCATCCCCAAATTACTAGAACTCATACAACAATTCAGTAATGTGGCAGGATACAAAATAAATGCACAGAAGTGAGTTGTTTTCTTATACACAAACAATGTAGCTATAGATAGGGAAATTAGAGAATCTATTCCATTTACAATAGCTCCAAGACCCATAAGATACCTTAGAATAAACCCAACCAAAGAGATAAAGGATCTATACTCAAGGAACTACAAAACACTCATGAAAGAAATTGAAGAAGACACAAAACATGGAAAAGAAACTGAAGAAGACACAAAAAGATGGAAAAACATTTCATGCTCATGGATTGGAAGAATAAACATTGTTAAAATGTTTATGCTGCCCAGAGCAATCTGTACTTTTTAAAATTTTTTTTTATTTTTCAGCATAACAGTATTCATTATTTTTGCACCACACCCAGTGCTCCATGCAATCCATGCCCTCTCCAATACCCACCACCTGGATCCCCCAACCTCCCATCCCCCGCCCCTTCAAAACCCTCAGATTGTTTTTCACAGTCCATAGTCTCTCATGGTTCACCTCCCCTTCCAATTTCCCCCAACTCCCTTCTCCTCTCCATCTCCCCTTGTCCTCCATGCTATTTGTTATGCTCCACAAATAAGTGAAACTGTATGATAATTGACTTTCTCTGCTTGACTTATTTCACTCAGCATAATCTCTTCCAATCCTGTCCATGTTGCTACAAAAGTTGGGTATTCATCCTTTCTGATAGAGGCATAATACTCCATAGTGTATATGGACCACATCTTCCTTATCCATTCGTCTGTTGAAGGGCATCTTGGTTCTTTCCACAGTTTGGCGACCGTGGCCATTGCTGCTATAAACATTGGGGTACAGATGGCCCTTCTTTTCACTACGTCTGTATCTTTGGGGTAAATACCCAGTAGTGCAATGGCACGGTCATAGGGAAGCTCTATTTTTAATTTCTTGAGGAATCTCCACACTGTTCTCCAAAGTGGCTGCACCAACTTGCATTCCCACCAACAGTGTAAGAGGGTTCCCCTTTCTCCACATCCTCTCCAAAACGTTGTTTTCTGTCTTGCTAATTTTGGCCATTCTAACTGGTGTAAGGTGGTATCTCAATGTGGTTTTTTTTTTTTTAAGATTTTATTTATTTATTTGACAGAGATCACAAGTAGATGGAGAGGCAGGCAGAGAGAGAGAGAGAGAGGGAAGCAGGCTCCCTGCTGAGCAGAGAGCCCGATGCGGGACTCGATCCCAGGACCCTGAGATCATGACCTGAGCCGAAGGCAGCGGCTTAACCCACTGAGCCACCCAGGCGCCCTCAATGTGGTTTTAATTTGAATCTCCCTGATGGCTAGTGATGATGAACATTTTTTCATGTGTCTGATAGCCATTTGTATGTCTTCATTGGAGAAGTGTCTGTTCATATCTTCTGCCCATTTTTTGATATGATTGTCTGTTTTGTGTGTGTTGAGTTTGAGGAGTTCTTTATAGATCCTGGATATCAACCTTTTGTCTGTACTGTCATTTGCAAATATCTTCTCCCATTCCGTGGGTTGCCTCTTTGTTTTTTTGACTGTTTCCTTGAGCAATCTGTACTTTAAACGCCATCCCAATCAAAGTATCATTGACATTTTTCAAAGTGCTGGAACAAATAATCCTAAAAGTTGTATAGAACTGGAAAAGACCCCAATCACTAAGGAAATGTTGAAAAAGAAAAAAAAAAAGCAGGAGGCATCACATTTCCTGATTTCAAGCTATATTACAAAGCTGTGATCACCAAGACAGTGTGGTACTGGCACAAAAACCGACACATAGACCAGTGGAACAGAATGGAGAGCTCAGATATGGACCCTCAACTCTATGGTCAAACAATCTTTGACAAAGCAGGAAAAAATATCCAATGGAAAAAAGACAGTTTCTTGCATAAATGGTGCTGGGAAAATAGGACAACTATATACAGTAGAATGAAACTTGACCATTCCCTTATACTGTACACAAAGATAAAATCAAAATGGCTAAAAAACTGCAGTGTGAAACAGGAATCCTTCAAAATCCTAGAGGAGAACATAGGCAGGAACCTCTTCAACACCAGCCACAGAAACTTCTTTCAAGACAGGTCTCCAGAGGGAAAGGAAACAAAAGTGAAAATAAATGTTTGGGACTTTATCAAGATAAAAAGCTTCTGCACAACAGAGGAAACAGTCAACAAAACAAAGAGGCAACCAGCAGAATGGGAGAAGATATTTGCAAGTGATACTACAGACAAAGGGCTGATACCCAAGATCTATAAAGAACTTCTCAAATTCAACACCCAAAAAAATAATCAAGTCAAAAAATGGGAAGAAGACTTGAGCAGACATTTCTTCAAAGAAGACATAGAAATATCTAACAGACACATGAAATAGTGTTCATCATCATTAGCCATCAGGGTAATTCAAATCAAAACAACAATAAGATACTACCTTACACCAGTTAGAATGGCAAAAATTAACAAGGCCAGAAACAACAAATGTTGGAGCTGTTGTGGAGAAAGGGGAACACTCTTACACTGTTGGTGGGAATGCAAGTTGATATAGACACTTCAGAAAACAGTGTGGAGGTTCCTCAAAAACTTTACATTAGAGCTACCCTATGACCCAGCAATTGCACTACTGGGCATTTACCCCAAAGATACAGATGCAGTGGAAAGAAGGGCCACATGCACCCCAATGTTCATAGCGGCAATGTCCACAATAGCCAAACTGTGGAAAGAGCTGAGATGTCCTTCAACAGACAAATGGATAAAGGCGAGGCCCATATACACATGGAATATTACTCCGCCATTGGAAAGGATGAATACCCAACTTTTGCATCAACATGGACGGAACTGGAGGAGATTATGCTAAGTGAAATAAGTCAAGCAGGGAAAGTCAATTATCATATGGTTTCACTTATTTGTGGAACATAAGGAGTAGCATGATGGACATTAGGAGAAGGAAGGGAAAAATGAAGAGGGGGTGAATCAGAGGGAGAGATGAACCATGAAAGACTACAGACTCCAGGAAACAAACTGATGGTTTTAGAGGGTGTGGGGGGATTCTTTAGCCTGGTTATGGGTATTAAGGACGGCACATATTGAATGGAGCACTGGGTATTCTACACAAACAATGAATCATGGAATACTACATCAAAAACTAATGATATACTGTATGGTGACTAGCATAACATAATAAAGGAAAATTAAAAAAAAATTATCATTGTAAGAAGGCAAACCCAAGGTCAAATCCTCCTCTCCTACACTTAAATTTTAAACACACCAGGTTGCTTATCAAGGAGTTCCTGAAATTTAGCTTGTTCATACTGGACAGAATGTTCCTGCAGGTAGGGTCGAAGGCTCTGGATACTATAGTTCACCATGTCCATTTTCATCAGGCCCAGAACATGGAAGATACCCCTGTCATAAGGAGAAATAAAATATTTACACTATGAAAGGAAATCTATTGTGGAGAGATGGAACTCAAGCAAGGTTTCCTAAAATTCCAGCATTTTAGAATTAAAATGGACCTTAAAAACAATAATCCAACTTCAATTTACAAATAAGAACACTGTGGTTAGGGGACAACAGCCACAGAGTGCATTGTTGTCAGGGGTAAGGACGAATATGTCTTCTGTCCTTTTAGTTACCAATGTAGAACTCTTTCCAATATTGCCACTATCTTCTCAGAATGAGTATTCAGTGGAAGGAAAATGACCAAAGTCCTAACAACCACCTGTGAGGACTCGGAATGATGATAATTAAATTTCTATCTAATTGGGCATACTATTTACCTTTCTGGGTCTTGATTCTCCCAGCTGTGAAACAAGGATAATCTTCATTGATGTCCCCTCATGGGCTTTAAGTTAAGATACGTAGGAAAACATTTGGGAAAAGGCTATTTGAAATCTCTGGAAGAAAGAATTATTGTACTCTCTCTTAGCATCACTTCTTAAAAAGGGTACAAATGATCTGAAGATCACCAAAAAGGCCTTGAGAGTCTGTCCTTGGAAAATAAAAGCCAATAGTCTAGGGAGCAAAATAACAGGTATTAGTCAGGGGTGCCTGGGTGGCTCAGTGGGTTAAACCTCTGCCTTCGGCTCAGGTCATGATCTCAGGGTCCTAGGATCGAGTTCCGCATCAGGCTTTCTGCTCAGCAGGGAGCCTGCTTCTCCCTCTCTCTCTGCCTGCCTCCTTGCCTACTTGTGATCTCTCTCTGTGTGTCAAATAAATAAATAAAAAATTTTTAAATAGGTATTAGTCAGTTCTTCAGTATAGAAGAGCTAGACAAGGCAGGAGCTATAACACAGTATCAGGGAGAGAGCTTTCTGACATAGTTGTTTAAGGCAGATTTCAGGGACAGTATATTTCGTTTCTCACTTTAGTAACTGCACAGGATCTGTCATGCTTTCTAGTTTCTGCACTGCTTCATCGCGGACTGGTGCACATAGGAGGGTCATCAAATTGAGAATGTAGTTAGAGAGATGAGGGACATCCAGGGCCCCATGTTCTGCTTCCTGCTTAAGGATATCCATGTCCAGAGCTTCTTCAATCTCATTTCTTAAGCGGTTCTGGTGTGGTAATAGCAGTGATAACAAGATCTGTCCATAAAAGAAAATCAATGGAGCGAAATTGTTTAGAAACCCAATCACTCTCCAATAAAAAAACTTCTTGAAATAAAGACTATGTCTATGTCTTTTGGAAGTCTTGAAAATAGGTCTCTAAATTTCTTATAGAAGAATATTATTTCTTTCTGGGACACCTGGGTGGCTCAGTGGGTTGGGCCTCTGCCTTCAGCTCGGGTCATGATTTCAGGGTCCTGGGACTGAGTTCCACATCAGGCTCTTTGCTCAGCGGGGAGCCTGCTTCCCCCTCCCTCTCTCTGCCTGCCTCTCTGCTGGCTTGTGATCTCTCCCTCTCTGTCAAATAAATAAATAAAATCTTTTAAAAAAGAATATTATCTCTTTCGGTTTAGGGGCCAATTATAGTTCAAGGCTTCACTGGTATCAGTAATAACAATAGTGCTATATAATATTCTGATCATAAGGATATTAAAATATGAATAAAAATAAGTGTTATAAAAATAGTGCAGGATATAAAATATATAAAATACACACCACCACAAGGTGATTGAAGCACTATTAATAAGGAATAAAGACATTTTTTGATTATTTTTACTTCAAAGATCAAAGATAAAATAAGTAAAGAACCATTAAAGGTCACTTGAAATAGCCTTTTGACTCAAAAGTATAAGCCTTTTGGCTCAAAAGCCCTTGTGGGCAAGGGATCCTTTACTCACTTATGTGCTTCTTAAAAACAAGACATAGTAAGTGATTACTGAAAATCTTTTTAATTGAATGACATACTGTGCCATTATAGCAACATATCACCTTTTGAGCTTCATATCATGCAAAGAATAAAAGCTTCTCTAGATGGTCTATTTAAGTAATGGACCATGTTCAGGGGGGCGTTATGCAACTTAAGATATTGATAATCATCAACAATCCACAGATTTGGTATGCTCAGGAACTTAACATCCACAAATGGGAGGGTTGTTACTCACCTCCTTAACTTCTTTTAAAAGTTCAAGAGCACGGCTGAAGTCAGGGGGAGTACTCAATGGTTGCTCCTTCAGATGGTCCCAAAAAGCATTGTACATTGTCTCCATGAATCTGCCTTCCAAACTGTAAAAAGTTTAAATAAGCAAATTGCTCTTTACCCAAAGAACTGATCATAATCAGGATAATTATTTCTTAAATCCCAAATAGCATTTAGGATCATGAAAGATCACAGAATTGCCAAGCCAAGAGCTATAGTTAGCTCTTGAATGAATAAACTAAATTTAGTGTCAAATGCAAAGATGTTAGCCAAATCCTCTCAGGAGGGTATCTCAAGGTTCCAGAGGAGCTCTCATCCTGCAGTAGGAAGAACCATGAACTAGGTAGGGAGTTAAGCCCTTGAGTTCTAGCCCTGGTTTTGCATCAAACATAAGTGTGTCCCCTAGTTTCTTTTTTTCCAGACAAAAAAAGAATTTATATTATACACTCCCATATACAAAACCTCAAAACAAGCAAAATAATATGTGGTGTTAATAATCAGAATACTGGTTACCTTTGGGGAGAATGGTTAACTTTCATTGGTAAAGTGCTGTATGCCTTAGTTTCTATATCCATAGACTTATAGGTTCAACTAGATGTTCTTTTTCTTTCCATTTTGAAATCTAAGAAAAAAATTCCTCCTTGATTACTCATTATCATCTCCATTTAAACCTGTTCCTTGTTTTTGCAAACCAGAAAGCTTAACCCTTTTCCCTCAAAAAATACAAAATGTACATGATTTTGTTAAAACTTTTACAAACAATTACAAAGATAAATGGGTAAAAAAGTCAAAGTTCATCTCCCAACACACCAATCCCATTTGTGAGATAATACATACATAATTGGTGTGTACTGGAGTCCTTCTAACTGCTTTCTCCTCAAACATTTTATCTACTTGGTCACCAAATTCCAGAGATTTTGCTTCCAAAATATCTCTATCTATTGTCATTTCCTATATGAACTATTGTAGTAGCCTGTTAAATGGTCTTCCTTCCCCAACAAAGTCCTATGCAATGCCACATATTCTTGCTAAAATCAATTATTTTTCTAAGATATACATCTGGTCATGTTGGCATGCTCATTTGAAGTCCTCTCTGGGCTCCCTATCACCAGAAGGATACATGGTCTCTAAAACCCTTTAGGATCCTCTTCTGTCACTTCTACCTTATTGCCTTCCTTCTTCTAACACACTGCTCCAACAATAACAACCTACTTAAAATGAATATATAATGTCTTTCACTAGTCTATGCCTGTGACATGACAGTTCCAGTTCCAGGAGAATCCTTCCCCACCTACCCCCCCACCCCAGACCACCTGAAAATTGCCCGTTCATACTCCAAAACTCAAGTGTTACCTTATGAGGAAAGTCTTTCTTGACACTCCTTGGGCAGCTGAACAAAAACATAGAATTCCATATACTAGATGTCAGAGAACTTATCATTGCACAGTAGCTATCTACTATTTGACTATCTCTGATACAGAAGCCTCTTGTGGTAAAGCTAGCATCCTAGTCACCTATATGTTCCCAGCATTAAGGATTGTTCCTTACACCTAGTTGGTACTCAGTTTGTTGTACACATATCTGACAATAAGATTTTCCTTAGAATCTGTAACTATAATTAGTGTTATTTTATAAGACCAAAGGTAAAACCAATAGTCAATATCTATATACAAAATAGATAAACCCATATTCTATTTCAACTTTGTTTTTGTTATACTTTTTGCATTGTTACACTAGAATAAGGCTGTTAATAACAGAACAATTAAAAATCAAGCTCTGAATAGTATTATTCCTTCTGCTTCATTTACCCACCCCTTATCACCACCACAAACCCAGCCACTTTAACAGATCTTCACTCTCCTAGTTTCACTTCCTCTGCACCCTAGCCAGCAGGAAAAAATCTAACTCGAGTTTCAGAGATAGTAAAGGTGAGGAATATGCTAGGACATTTGTATTTTGATGGAAACCTCTTTGGAAAAGCTGTGCCTGGCATGAGTACCTGTTAACAACAGGTAAGGGAAAACTAAGAAGTGTGGAGATCAAAAGAAACACAGAGCAAAGTGTTTTAGAAATAGAACCCCTAAACTGGGAAATTAGAAATGCTATACAATTAGGGCACAACAAATTAATTTACCCATTTAACTATTAACAAGCTATTATAAGTATTTAATTCAGGGGTGCCTGGGTGGCTCAGTGGGTTAGGGCCTCTGCCTTTGGCTCAGTCGTGATCTCAGGGTCCTGGGATCGGCCCCACGTTGGGCTCTCTGCTCAGTGGGGAGCCTGCTTCCCCACCCCCTCTCTCTCTGCCTGCCTCTCTGTCTACTTGTGATCTCTGTCTGTCAAAGAAATAAAGTCTTAAAAAAAGAAGTATTTAATTCATAAAATTTTATTTATGTCTTGCAATATGAATGTAATTAATAAGAACCAGAATAAAGCCTCATTTTAGAGAGGCATTCTTTAATCAATGTGGTTCTGATCTTAATTCCCAAAATTGTTATTAAGCTGCTTATAAGGCCGGAATGTTCTCTGAAATTTTTTCTCATGAAGAGTTGGCAATACCACTATTAGAATGGTACTCTTTTCACCAGTACCTGTTTGATCTGTAGACAAAAGAATAACTTTCATGAACTATTTCTTCCAAGGCTGTCTAAAAAGATCAAAATTAACTCTGTATTTCATTATTAACTGGGATACCAAAATAAACATTCTGACAACAACATCTTTGGTTTAATTCCTGTTTAAATATATATTTTTTTCCACTTTGACATGAAACTAATAATTACACTGGTAATTACACTCCTCTGTTTTATTTGTTGGTACAATTTAAGACATACTCAAAATTAACTGCATTAATAAAAACGCTTCAATCCTGATCAAGAGTCATTTGTGTTATATGCTTATCACAGGAGGAGTAAAATGAAAAAAAAAATAGAAGAGTCCATACCTGTTGGAAAGTAAAACACTCTCTTCCATACGGAAATGTTGGTTTACCATGATTTCATGAGCAATGCTAAGTTTAGAAACTTCATTAACTGTCTCTATCAGATCTGTGACAGAAAGTACTTCAGGTCTGCTCTCTGGAAAAAGGTACAGCAGTCATTAACAGAGATCCCATACAAGTAAAATTTCTATTTTTTATAGATTCTCTCAATGAAGTAAGGGCCCCAAGTTTAGATCCATAAAGCAGATCTTACATAGATTCACTCAATCATTCTAGTATTTGAGGTTTTCTGAACTTTTGCCCTTCAATAACATTGGAATTCTCAGAAAAGTCAAGCATGAACAAAAGTTTATGAAAAGCAAAAAGTGAAACTGATTTCAGAACCCTTTGCTTGAAATGTTAAAATTGTAAGTAAAAAACAGCAAATAAACACTGGTAAATTATGGTTTATAAAATAAATAATTGTCTAGGGGCACCTGGGTGGTTTAGTCAGTTAAGCATCTGACTCTTGATCTCACCTTAGGTCTTGATCTCAGGGGTGTGAGTTCGAGCCCAATATTGGGCCCCACGCTGGGCATGGAACCTACTTAAAATAAATAAATAAACAATTTTCTAAAAGTTGCTATTTCTGGAACACTAAAAGAAATTTTTAAATAAATAAATAAATAAATGGGGGAGACAAGATGGCGGGGAAGTAGGAGGAGGTGCCGTTTCAACCTGTACCCTAAAGTGAGCTGATTACCTACCAAAGAACTCTGATCACCCATGAAATCAGCCTGAGATCAGAATTATACACATCTGAATCTCTACAGCGGCAGAAGATGCCAGTGGGCAGGTAAAGCAGAGTGGGAACGTCGGACTGATATCAGAAGATGAACAAAAGGGGGAGGGAGCCCCCAGAGGCGACCGATTGGAAAGTAATACCCCAATATGAGAGTGCCCTGCGTCTGGGGACCAGCATTAACTTGGAGTCTGGTTGAAAGCACTCAAAAAGAGCAAAGGATCATGGGGGGAAATTGTGGGAATCAGGGCAGCTAGTGACAGGGGCTTAAGTCCCTGGACCCAGGACAGCCTCCCCTGGCACTGAGCCAAAGAGAGTAAGGCAGAGAAACAAGGTCTTGGTCCCTGAGTTGCCAGCGCACCTGAGAACGAGTGCTGCCCAGCACCCGTGAGGGGTTGGGACCCTTGCCAGCCTGCAGAACGCCGCGCCGTACTATCAGAGCCTGAGACGTGCATGCCCCACACTCTCCCCTGAGAGAGGTGTGCGAAGGCCCAGCCCAGTGCTCTTAGACCCGCACCATACTATCAGAGCCTGAGACACGCATGCCCCACACCCTCCCCTAAGAGAGGTGCGCCTAAACCCGGGGCTCTTAGACCTGGAAAGACCAGGCACTCCCATCCCGGGCAAGTGGGAAAATATCAGTGTGAGATCACTGCTTAGAAGCTCTCTGGTGGTCTGGAGCTGCCCAGACAGCTGCCGCTGCTGGGGTTTTGGGTATAAGCAGGAGATCCTGCGTCCCCAGGGACCGCAACACAGAACCTGCTCTGCCAGTGGCCAAGGGGGAAATTATATGGGCTCTGCAGCACCCACAGGGAAGCAGACTGAGGCTTCTCTCTGAGAGGGAGGTCGGGGTGCAGTTTGCTTTCCTCTAAACCTCCAAAAACCATCAAAAGCTGTCAAGGTGAGAGAAAACAAATGAACAAACATAAAATCCTCCAGAGAACAAAGGCCTGAAAAAACTGGTTTCCTCAGAGCCCACCCCCTTGAGGGGGGTGGGAGGACTTAACTCCAAGAACATCATTGACTGGAAATCCACGTGGCAGGTCCCTCCCCCAGAAAACCAACAAGGAAAGAAAAAAAAAAGATGAAAAAAGAACAACCACCACTACTTCATAGATACAACTATTATTTATAACTCGTTCCCACTATTCTGGTTCATTTTTTTTTTATATAGATAATTTTTTAACCTATTGACCATCACAGTGAGATGTCCAGTACACCAAATTCCATAATAACCATCTAACCTGAACTTTTTGATACATATACCTGTGTTTTTCTTTTGCTTTTCTATTTAAATTTTTTTTTAAATTTTAGTTTAGTTTAGTCTAGTTTATTCCTTTTTTATTTTTAATTTCTAATATTCATATAGAGTTAAACTTCAAGGTAACCCCCTTTCCCCAACCAATGCTACCCCTATAGGTAAACCAATTTTTAATCCCCCTTTATCTCAGGAAAGTTGAGTCCTTTAACAAAGATATTAAGATATATCCAGGAAGAATCAAAATAACCTTCCTCGCCCACACTGAGAATTGATAACCACTCTCCCAACTTTTTATTCCACCAATGTTTCTGTGTATTTGTGTTTGTCCTGATAGTATATAAATCTTACACTTGGGGTTCTTTTTGACGAGGCTCTTCCTTTTTTTGCATATATATATATTTTTTTTTCTCTTGTCATATACTTTTATCAGTCTTTTTGTTTGTCTGTATACTTCATAAATCTTACCTTGGGGCCCATTTGGGCTGAGCCTTCTCTTTTATCTTCCCTTTCTTTCCTGTCTCTCTCTCTCTCTCTTTTTCTTTTTCTTTTCTTTTTTCTCTCATTCGGGTGAGGAATCCTGATTGCTCAGAAGCGTTCCAGGGTGCACTTTGACTGCACCACAGTCAATACATCCAGTTACATCCATTCAGTCATCTCTCACCAAAATGACAAGGAGGAGGAATGCCCAACAGAAGAAAAATACAGAGGATGAGCCTTCTGCAACAGAGCTAATGGCTATTGACATAGACAATATGTTGGAAAAGGAATTCAGGCTAACAATTATCCAGGCAATAGCTAGGTTGGAGAAATCCATGGATGACCAAACGAAATTGATTAGGGCAGAACTGAAAGCCACCAGGGATGATGTTCACAATCTTACGGCAGAACTGAAAGCCACCAGGGATGATGTTCAAAATGCTCTCAATGAGTTCCAATCTAATCTAAATTCTCTAAAAGCTAGGGTAACTGAGACAGAAGATCGAATTAGTGATCTGGAGGACAAACAGTTAGGGAGAAAGGATCAGGAGGAAGCCTGGAACAAACAGCTTAAAAGCCATGAAAACAGAATCAGGGAAATAAATGATGGCATGAAACGTTCCAACATCAGAATTATTGGAATCCTTGAAGGGGAGGAGAAAGAAAGAAGTCTAGAAGATATAGTGGAACAAGTTGTCCATGAAAATTTTCCCAATCTCACGAATGGAACCAGTGTTCATGTACTAGAGGCAGATCGGTTTCCCCCCAAGATTATAGATTCTCGAAAGTCCTCGAGACACCTAATAGTAAGAATGAATAATTATAATTGTAGGCAAACCATCTTGAAAGCAGCTAGGACAAAGAAACTCCTTACGTAAAGAGGAAAGCCCATCAGAATAATGTCAGACCTATCCACAGAGACCTGGCAAGCCAGAAAGGGCTGACAAGATATATTCAGGGAACTAATGAGAAGAACATGCAGCCAAGAATACTTTATCCAGCAAGACTGACATTCAAAATGGATGGAGAGATAAAGAGTTTCCAAGACTGGCAAGGCTTAAAAGAGTATGCGACCACCAAGTCGACACTGCAGGAAATATTAAGGGGGGTTCATAAAACAGAAAAAAATCCTAAAAATATCATTGGACAAAAATATAGAGACAATCTACAGAAAGAAAGACTTCAAAGGTAACATGATGTCAATAAAAACGTATCTATCAATAATCACTCTCAATGTGAATGGCCTAAATGCACCCATCAAATGACACAGGGTTGCAAATTGGATAAAACGACAGGGCCCATCCATATGTTGTCTACAAGAGACCCATTTTGAATCTAAAGATACACCCAGACTGAAAGTGAAGGGATGGAGAAGCATTTTTCATGCCAATGGGCCTCAAAAGAAGGCCGGGGTAGCGATTCTCATATCAGATAAATTAGATTTTAAACTAAGGACTGTAGTCAGAGCTACAGAAGGACACTACATAATTCTTAAAGGGACTATCCACCAAGGTGATCTAACAATTGTAAATATTTATGCCCCCAATATGGGAGCAGCCAATTACATAAGAAAACTATTAATCAAGATAAAGAGTCATATTGATATGAATACATTAATAGTAGGAGATCTTAACACGCCTCTCTCAGAAATAGATCACTGAAGCAGAAAATCAAAAAGAAACAAGAGCATTGAATGACACATTGGACCAGAAGGATCTCATAGATATATACAGAACATTCCAACCTAAAACAACAGAATACTCATTCTTCTCAAGTGCACATGGAACCTTCTCAAGAATAGACCATATACTGGGTCACAAATCAGGACTCAACTGATACCAAAAGACTGAGATTATTCCCTGCATATTCTCAGATCACAATGCTTTGAAACTGGAGCTTAATCACAAGGAAAAGTTCAGAAGGAGCACAAACACCTGGAAGCTAAAAACCACCTTGCTTAAGAATGCTTGGATCAACCAGGAGATCAAGGAAGAACTGAAACAATTCATATAGAAACCAATGAGAATGAAGACACTTCGGTCCAAAACCTATGGGATACAGCAAAGGCAGTCCTAAAGGGGAAATACATAGCCATCCAAGCCTCCCTCAAAAAAATTGAAGAATCCAGAATATGCCAGCTGTCTCTACACCTTAAAGAACTGGAGAATCAACAACAAATCAAAGCAACTCCACACATAAGAAGGGAAATAATCAAGATTAGAGCTGAGATCAATGAGGTAGAATCCAGAGATACAGTAACGTATCAATGAAACTAGAAGCTGGTTTTTTGAAAGAATCAATAAGATTGAGAAACCATTCGCCACACTAATCCAAAAGAAAAGAGAGAAAGCCCAAATTCATAAAATTATGAATGAAAGGGGAGAGATCACAACTAACACCAAGGAAGTAGAAACAAGCATCAGAAGTTATTATCAACAGTTATATGCCAATAAGCTAAGAAACCTAGATGAAATGGATGCAATCCTAGAAAACTATAAACTCCCAAAATTGAACCAGGAAGAAATTGACAACCTGAATAGACCAATATCAAGTAACGAGATTGAAGCGCTGATCAAAAACCTCCCAAAAAACAAGAGCCCAGGACCTGATGGATTCC